TAGATCTCGAACAGCAGCCACACCGCCAGCGCAGCCTCGTAGGACCGCTGGAGGAGAAGCCAGTTGATGATCAGGAAGACCACCTCGATCGGCAGCGCCTGACGGCTCTTCGGCGGCGCCAGGTTCTTCCAGCCCGCAGCAGCCTGCTTCGCCCGCGGGAGGCGGAGCTGGCCGTGCCGACTGAACTCGGGCCGCATCCAAGCGATGGCCGCGATAAGGCGGTTGGCGTAGGTCAGGTGCTTCCCCTCGTCGAACATCACGTGCAGGTAGCCCACCGCTGCCTTGTCGACGTCCGCGGCCGAGGACAGCGCCATCTGCTGGCTCCTGGCCCAAGTCACGAACGCGGTGTGCAGCACCTGGTAGGCCTCCCTGCCCCTCGCCGTGCGCACCGCGGCGGCGTTGAGCACCTGCACGCCCGGCGGCGGCCGCACCTCGGCCGCCCGCTCCCGAGGGGTCTGGGGGCGCGGCGTCGCCGCCGCCGGCCTGCGCCTCACGCCCTGCAGAGGGCCCGGCGCGGTCCGCGCGGCAGGCGCGGCCTGGCGAGCAGCGCGGCGGCCCGGCCAGACCGGGGGGCCCGGTCGCGAGGCTGCCGAGGTCGACGAAGGCTGGCTCCGCGGCGACCGACTCCGGCGGCGAGCCCGCCCCAGCATGCCAGTCGCACTTCCTCTGCACAGGCAGTGGGGGCGCACTCTCGCCAGGCGAAGGCCTCGAAGCTGGACAGCAAGAACCAAAACGGCGATGCGACGGAAGGAACGTGCTGATGTCGGTGTCATGCGTGCTGCTGCCGTGCTGGCCTATCTTGCTGACGTCGTGCTTGTCGGTGAAGCTGTGCCTGTTGATGTCGTGCTTGCTGATCTCGTGCTTGCTGATGTCGTGCTTGTCGTGTTTGCTGATGTCGTGCTTGCCACACTTGCTGATGATGGGCATGTCGGTAATATCGTGCTTGACTGTGCTGATAATGTTGTACTCGTGCTTGCTATTGATGTCGTGCTTAGCGGGGACGTGCTTGTCAAGAATGATGTCTGTAGGCTTTGTTGGAGATCCCCTGCCCCTCGAGGGCCCGTCGGCCACATTGAACTCTGTGGGCACCCACCTCACGCACAGATACGACCCAGAAGCCAAGGACAGGGCAGAGATGCGCTGCGTGACCCGGAGCATTGCGTGTGAGTGAGCTCGCATACGGGACGAGGCGGCGACAGCCGTCAGAGAGTCTCCTAGCACCAAGATCTTCTTGCCATGATTGTTTGCATTCCGAAGGGCATGACGAAGGTGATAATGAACCGCTCTGGCTTCAAGAATGGGCATCGGTTCCGAACGGTCCCACTTCCTCCTCCCTGTGACAGTCCAGGCCGAGCGCCCGAGGAGACGTTTTGGAACCTCGGGGAACTCGGCCAGGTCGCGCTCCAAAGGCGGGCCGACGGGCTCGGCTGGCAGGGCGTCGGCAGCCGACGCGAAAGCAACGAGCCCAGGGCCGCCAGAGGCGGGGTCACCCACCTCGGCAGCTATGGCCTGGCCTAGCGCCCGCTGGCTGGCGGCCAGAGCGCGGCGCCGGGGCGGGGGCCTCTCCGCCCGCCCGAAGCGCCACCGCTCGCAGTACCGCCCGACGGACTTGACTGCCGCTGGCGCCCAGGTGGACTGACAGGCGCCCAGGCCCCACGGCGACGCGTCGACCGCGCCCACGTCCATCGACCAGCCCGCCTTCAGATCCCGCCAGAGGAGGGGCGCCAGCCCATCCCACACTGCGAGCTCGGTGCGGACGCCGCCCGGGAGCGGGGCCTCCACGTGGTACGAGGTCTGCACGAACCTGAAGCAAGCCTCGAAGAGCGCGAGGCCCTCGCGCCGCACGAGCGTGATGAAGATGAGATGGCCGAGGATGCGCTCGATGTCCGCCCCGCAGCAGCGGCCTCGCCTGAGAAGGCACCTGACAGCGAGCCGCGCACGCCACAGGCGTCTCCCCGAGGCGGACAGCCTCCCCGAGGCGGCGATGTCCCAGCCCAGGACGTTGAAGGTGCCCTCCTCCTCCCCAGCGTGATCCTCGAGCGTGACCACCAGGCCGCGGCGCTCCAGCTCGGCCGCCACCCGCGCCGCCGCAGCGCGGACGGCGACACGATCGTAGCCGAAGCTGACGAAGTTGTCCACGTACTGGAGGTGCCCGAACTCGCTGAGGCCAGGCGCAGGGCGACCGTCATGCAGCCGCTGCGACTCAGGGCAGCCCGACTGCTCCGCGATGCGCTCCATGATGGACTGGCACCACCACAGCGCCCACGACCAGCCCATCGGCACCACCTTCAGCCTGGGGAAGAGCTTGGCCGCGGGCGCGACCTGGCTTCCCCCGAGGCTGGAGACACCGACGGAGCCCGCCAGGACGGGCCGCATCACGAAGTACTTCCTGAGCTCGATGGGCAGCTCGAGGTGGTAGAACGCGTCCTTCAGGCCAACGCCCTCCACGTCCAGGATGCCCTCGGGGTCGTCCAGCTCGAGCGCGGCGAACGAGTCCCCCGTGGGCAGGGCGACAGGCGCGGGGTCGGCGAACACGACGTTGCTGCGCCTGCAGTCGATCACCATCCTGAGGCGGCCCCCCTTCTTCTTGACAAAAAATGCGTCGACCCTCACCCCGTCGTCCAGCGAGAAGTCGATCAAATTACGAGCATGCAGATCACGAGCGAAACCTTCCCAGTCCCGTGCGCACCTCAGCCGAGGGTCCGAGTAGGGCGTCTTGACAGAGCATGCGTCCAGTCGAGCGGCCGCCACGTCAGCCGGCAGCAGGCTCTGCTGAACAAAAAGCTCGACCTTGGATATCCCGCCATCGCCCCACACGTCCGAGAGCGGTACTGGAGGCACCTTCCCGTCCGGCAAGGAGACGAGCGCGGGGTCATAGCTTCCGAGGGGCGACTCCTCGACGCAGTAGCCGCCCCCGGCCACGCGAAGCTGCCGTAGCGCTTCTGCGGGAGACAGATCTCGCGGAGGAGCACCAAGTTTCTCCACAGAGCTGCTGTTGTGCGCCAGGCACTGGCGCTGGGCCAGCGACAGGGCGCCTGCTGTAAAACTGCGGTCCCGCCCGACATGAGTAGACGAGTCGTTCAACCAATTCAATGCATCCACCGCCCGAGTCGCGTCCCTCTCAAAACTGCTCCGCCGAAGATGTCGTTGCTGCACGACGCGGCTGAGCTCTCGAAAAGCCTCACCCCGCTGACGTTGAAGGTCATAAGGATAAGGTAGAGGGAACACATCACGAGGCACGCGACGACCCGGGGTGGCGGCGCTCGGGCCCGACGAGTGACTCGGACCTCTGCAGGAAGTAGTTCGGCCAGCTGGGTCCCTGCCGCTCCCAGTGGCCGTGCCTTGCTTACCCATGTTTGCGCCTGGACTCGCGCTCCTCGCGTGCCAGGCGCAGGTTCTTGTTGAGCTTCCCCTCCCGCTCGAGCTCCGCCCGAACATGCTCGATGAGGTCCGGGCAGATCATGATGGCCGTGTGGGCGCGAGTCACGCCCGAGAACGCGGCCTGCTCCTCCAACGAGAGCTTGCCGCCGATCCCCTTGCTCTCCTGGTCCTTCGCTTTGTCCCAGTGGGCGCACTCGATCGTCTGCATCCTCCTGAACTTTGTCTCCACCGACACTAGATTCGAGCCGTCCAGCATGTCGATGCAGAGGGCCTGCTTGAGCTGCAGGCTGAGCTGGTAGTGCTCCTGCACGCCCCAGTCCGAGGCCGCGAGCTTGCAGATCGACCTGAAGTGCTCGTGGTGGCCCTCGATCCCGAGGCCTTCGTTCAGGATGTAGTCCATGCACCAGTCGGCAGTGCGGGAGCCGGGGAGCCCCCAGTCGGAGGCGTCGAACTCCTCACGATTGGTGAGCTCGACCATCGCCGACCAGGTGAGCTCCCTCTTCCCCCGCTTGTTGCGGGTCACTGGCAGGATCCTCGCGTCGGCCCCCACGGCGCGCTGCAGGAACCCCGGCAGGGCCGCCGAGGTGACGTACTCCACGAAGAGGGCCTCGCCTGACGGGAGCAGGTGGAGGTCCCGATCCCCGACGCGGGAGGGCGACGGCACGTGCTCCACGATCTCGTCGCCCACCCTGAAGTCGCCCACACACGCCGCGACACGCCACACGCCGTCGTTCACGTCGGCCACCCCACCCGCGCGAGGCGTAGCCCGGGCGGCAGCAGCGCGGCCACGCAGCAGCCCCACGGCGGGGCCAGGCGGCGGCGCTGCCGGGCCTGCGGCAGCGGCCCCCCCAGGGGGGACGAGCACCTTCAGCCCGCGCAGCACCTGCAAGTCCCCGATGAGCTCCGCCCGGCGCCTGCACTCCTGGCCCGCCACCTCCTCGGCCTCGACCACGAGCTGGCGGACCTCGGCCTGGGTGGGCTCCTGCCTGAAGCCGTAGACGTCGGCCCGCCGCAGGCCGACGGGGGGCGTGGCGTACGTGCCGAACCTCGTCGCCTGGATGTCTGGATTATCCTGGATCTGGATGATATACATGTCGCCATCCGCAGTGTAGATGACGTGATCACTCCGACTGAGAGCGATCCTGCCCAAGTTAAGGTGCTGGTGCCACTTGTTCTCGCCGGCGTACCAGACGTATACCCACTGAGTGGTCGCCATCCTGGCCACCTCCCGCCGTCAAGGCACGGACAGGCGCAGCACGCGAACTCGTCGGCGTCGGTCGGCAGCAGCTCCCCAGCCCGCCCGTGACGAGCGCCCCGACGAGCACCCCCACGAGGAACAGAGAGAAGCTGAGCGTCCAGCAGCGGCACACCTGCTCCCCTGGGCAGGTCGGCGGTTCGGGGCAGGGCCCGCACGACGGCCCCGGCTGCGGCGCCTGGGCCCACTGCGGCCCGCCCAGGACGCTGGGCAGGGCCGGGCACGGCGGGATGCTCGGGCACACGAGGCTCACGTTGCAGCTCGCCGGGGCGGGGAGCGACGGGCAGGGCGGGCAGCGCGACAGGTAGCTCACCAACCCAGCGCCGGCCACATCCGCGACGCGCCCCAGCCACGGTGGAAACATCCGGCCACTCGGCCGGCCCTTGCGCCTTGAGCCCCCGAATGGCGGCGGATTGCGCAGATGAAAACCGTGCAAGCACAAATATGATGATGATGATGATGATGATGATGATGATGATGATGATGATGATGATGATGATGATGATGATGATGATGATGATGATGATGATGATGATGCTGTTTCCAAATGGGGGGAGGAGCGGCGACTCGTCCCAGGCGGTTGCCAGTGGCCCGAAAGCCTGTTGGTGTGCTGCTTGGTAACTTTCGGGAGCGCGCCAGCTGCCCAGGCAGCCAGCGTCTCCGTAAAGCATCCAGGCCAGCGGGCCTGCTGCCATGTTGGGCCTCTTGGGTCTGCCTTCGGGCCTCGGGACCGTCAAAGAACGGCCTGGGGACCCTCCTCATCCTCCTTCTCCTCCTCCTCCTCCTGCTCCTCATTTTCCGCCTCCTCTTCCCCCTCCTCCTCCTCCTCCTCCTCCTCCTCCTCCTCCTTCTCCTCCCCCGTGCTAAACTGGGCCTGGGGAATGCGTCGAGAGGTTTGGGGGCCCACAAGTGGAAAGCATCGAAGCGCCCGACGTCCGAGGATACACATGTATACCGGTCCTGACGTAAGTGAGGCCCATCCCGGGCACGAGGTCAGTGCGTACGCGCATGCGCTCTCCTGGCCAAAGCAGGTGTACAACGACGCGAAGATCGGGACAAAATCGGATCGGGATAACTCGGAATCTCTGAGAATCGGCGGGTTTGGAGGATGTATTGGGCGCCGCGGCCGCTCCAGAGCGTTCCGGTACGCTCTGAGAGCGCTCCGGAACGCTCTGGAGCGATTTATCCCGATCCTAGCCCTGTTTTAAGGTGGGCATGTGCACCGATCCGGTGCCCAGGACTGGCCGGGCCTAGAGCAGCGTGGGTGCACCGAAGGTGGAGGAGGGCGTGCTTTTTTGGGGAGCGTACTGACGCTTACCTAAACAGCTTGTCCGCAAGGGTGCTATACATCTCTGCCAAGAACCCAAGCCAAGAGGTGCGCTGCCGGATCTGAAATCGGTCGGGCAACGTGGCCTCCCATTGTCTTCCGCTGTCTCCCACTATCGATCCCTATCCCTAGAAATCCCTATCAATATCCCGACCAATACCCCTGTCCCTGTCCCTATCCCTATTCCTATCTGCCTCGACCCCTACCCCCGTCCCGCTTGTCCCTATCCTGTCCCATATCCCCACCCCTGTCCCTATCCTCACTCCCATCCCGATCCCTACATCCCTGTCCCTAGATCTCTAGCCCTCCATACCAGTCTCTCTCGCAACTGTTGAAAGAAACATGTTTGCACCATTTCGGGTTGAGCTGCGAATCGGATGGCGCTGCTGCTCCCCCGCGCCCCCGACTTTAATTTTGATAGTTGCGACACCTCCCGGAGCCCTTTCGATCAATAAATGTACATCCCATTTCAGCGTGCGCATCCGCTCTCAATGTTAAGGTCGGGGGCGGGGGGATCGTATCATCAGTTGTCGTGCCGCCCAAGTGGTGCAGACTTGTTTCTTTCAACCGTATCCCTGTCCCGATCCCATCGTGGCCCCCATCGCAACTGTGCAAAGCTGCTCTAGGGGGCAAACGGACCGACCTTGCTTTTGACCACCCTCGCGTCCAAGAGCTACCAAGCGATACCAAACTGCGGCCCGCACTGGTCATGCCGCTCGACGGGGGGGCGCGTGGTATGACTTGTTTTTGCCTAAAAGCGAAAGCGGGGTAGGTAATTCACGCTCTGATGCTCGGGGTCTCCTGCCACATCGGTGCCCAGATCTTCGGGGCTCATGGCTTCCGTGCCTGCCCCTGGCGGCCGCGAAGCGCCGGCATCTTCACGCTGTGCTGGCGAACCAGCCAACTACCCAGCTACCCCCCCAAAAAAACAACAACAGAAGAAAAACATCGCTGCCGACCAGGCCCTCCAGAAGGGCTTACAGTGGGGGCCCGACCACGAGAACCCTTCCACAAGAAACCCGCTCCTGAGACCCCAGGGCGCCCCTCGATTTTCGGCGTGGGAGCGCCACGCTCTCCAGGGCAAAACACCATCGAAACCCAAGAGACCCAGGGCACCCTGGAGGCAGGCGGGGCGCTTCTTGGCACGGGCCTCCACTGCCCGACGCCGCGATGGCGCGGGGCGCTGGCCTCCGACGCCGCGCGGGCCTCCCAGCCTTGCTCGGGCAGGGCGCTCCAACGCAGCGCGCCGCTCGTTCGCCCTCGGCCGCGTCGACCTCCGGACCACCCGGCGGCGCTCCCTCGGCAGCGCCCCGCGCCCGGGGGTCGCCGCGCGCCTGCGCGGCGCGAGCCTGCCGTGGCGGGCCCACCGACGCGAGGCAAGCGCGCTCCGCTGCTCGCGGGGCAGCTGCTCGCAGGATTCCGAGGCGGGGAGTTCTCCATGACAACCGCCTGGGGGATCGATCTTCCTGGACCTCCACAGGCGGTGGGTGGGAGCACATTCGGGCCCCCAGGGGGGCCCAAATATATCCACATCCACCGCCCGATAGTGCACCGGGACGTCGGTTCCCAGGCGGTGGATATGGATAAATCCCCGCCTCGCACACGTGGCCTGTGTCCGCCACGAGGGATGTACGATCCCTGGCGGAGGGGGAGGGCATTTTTCGGGGTTCTTGCGAGTAAGCACTTTGCGAATAGCGGAGCGGGCTCGGTGAGACGTCGATGCCGGCCAAAGCCCACCTGTGCCCAGGCCGGGCGTATACGCTGTGGCTGGGCTCAAGACAAACCCGCCCGCATACCAACATGGCAACATTGCAAACGTCAACCTGCGGAGGTCCGCGCAAACTTCTGGGACCGACGCTGAACGGCCCTCCCTGGCGCGCGGAACGCGTCGGAGGCGGCGCGAACGACGCCGTCAAAGGGGCCCAGCGGCTGCCACCGCCGATCCAAGAAGTCCGCGCGGGCCTCTGAACGTTGATGTTCGTATATTTTTCCTTCTTCGGAAATGGCCGCAACGCCCCCCTCCCCCCCCAAGAAGACCCGCTCGCGCGACAGGCAGGGTCCCCCCTGGCCTGTCTTCCAAGCGACGCCTGGCCTTGGCGACGAGGAGAATCCCCCGGAGGCCCAGGAGACGAGGTGGACGAGGAGGGAACCTCAGAGCATCACATAAGCCAGCTTCCCAACGGATGGGAAAGGGGACGGCACGACGCAACGCCGGACCAGGGGGATCTTGACAGAGTCGGGGCTCAGGCCCTGAGCCCTGAGCCCGAACCGCTCCTCCCCCTGAGCCTCAGGGGGAGGAGCGGTTCGGGGCAAGGGCGAGAGCCCTCTGCCCGCGGCGGGCGCGCTCCAGAGCCGCTGTGCTCTGCGCGCACGTGCAAGGGCGGGCCGCTCCGCTCCGCGCCGCAGCGCGCGATCGGCGGGGCGCGCCTCCGCCGGTCAACGATCGGCGAGCTCAGGATCGGGGCATGTCGGGAGGGCGAACCTCGCGAGTGGTGGCGTGTCCACCTTCCAACAGGCGCCCGTACTCGTCGTGCAGTACGCGGCGTCCGCATCCACAGGGTGAGAAGCCGCATGCTTCACAATGAGCCCGCGCTCAGGATTCGAAATGGCTATGACCACGGCAGTCCCGTTTGCGAAATTGTTGACAATTTGGGCTATACCCGCAAAGGCGGAGGCGTGCAGGTCGATGAAGAGAACGCTCACATCCACAGTAATGGCAGACTTCCCGTTGGCTGCTGCGAAATGGTCCCCATTGTGGGCTTTGTCCGCAAGGGCAGTGGAGGTATCATCAAAGACGATGAACAGAACCTCGTCATCCACAGAGCTGGCGATGATGATGCTGACAATGACGATGACGATGATGATGATGATGAAGCTGATGATGATGATGCTGACAATTAGGAGGAGGAGGAGGAGGAGGAGGAGGAGGAGGAGGAGGAGGAGGAGGAGGAGGAGGACGCAAATGCGGGGCAACCATCGGGGGGCGGCGATACATCGCCGCCAGGGGGGCCCGATAGCCCACCCCGCCCAGAGACGTATGGCTTCGCTGTCGGGGGGGCGCCGCCGACCTGTCGGCGATGTCTCGCCGACTCCAGCCCGATGTCTCCCCCCCGGAGCTCCCCCCCCCGAGCGCTGCCCCCGAGCAGGGAGGAAGCCCCGGAGCCCTCCCCGGGCACATCCTGGCCCGTCTGCCGAGCCACGCCCCGACCGTGGCGACGAGCGCCCCCCTCCCCGCTCTCCCCGAAGGCCCCAGGTGGAGAGGCGGGCGCGGAAGGCGCTGAGTGGAGGCGGTGATTTTGAGGCGGTCGGAGGGTGGTGCAGTCCCAGACCCCCTCGCGCTGTGAGAGAACCACGGCGGGAGGCTTTTCGCTCCGTTCGCCCCCCGGGGGCCCTTTACCAGGCCTCGGGACCGTCAGAAAACGGCTCGGGATGAGAAACGGGTCCGGGGGAAGGGGTCCAGACCTCTGGGGGCCGACGTTGCGACAAAAATCACGTCGTGGGCCTGTGATTTTCCCACACCGGGCGTGTCCGCCCGGTTTCGGGCCCCCGGGGCCATCACATATCGATCCCGCATTCTTGTCAAGGGAGGAAAACCACCCGGACCCGACAACTGGCGTTTACTAAACGGCCTTAGGGGTTTACTCAACAGCCCCGCCCTGTTCAATTCCCTCATTCCTTGGGCGCGTTCACTGAACGGCTTTGCTTGTCGGTGTAATTATTATGGGGGTGGATGTTCTGCCCTCTGGATTGTTCGCGACGTCGCAAACTGTTCCGCAACGCCTCATCTCGGGGGATCCAGTCGGGGCGCTGAGGAAGGAACCCTTTTCGTTGGGGATGGGCTCCGTGCCCCTTACTTGTTTCACAGTTTGCCCTAGGTTGTCCATTGGTGTTCGATGGGGAAGTCGACGTTTAGCTTGTGGAGGAGAGGGGCCTCGCTCCTTATCTAGGGTTCCCTGATCAACGCTCGGGCTGGAATCGGCCGTACATCGCCGGCAGGTCGGCGATGGCCCCCCGACAGCGAAGCCATGCGTCTCTGG